CCTTTGACTCTACAGTGGACTTTGACCTATGAATTTCCATTTGCAGCGTTCGGTCTCACAGCCGGACGCAGCAGTCTGGGCCTGGGCAGTGCCGGGTCACACAGCCCAACACAGAACAGTAAGTTCTGCGTGGCCAGGGGCGGGTCTGGGCCCCGTACAGACCTTGATGCAGACGAATTACTGCATTTGCAAGGCCCAATTCCTCGATAAGCCCTATTGGGCCCCTATTTGCAACAGCGTCGGCCGCCCTAAGTGAAGGCAGGCTCGACAGACCCCAAGAGGACTATTTTGGACTACTTGGCAACTGGGGAAAATTCGGGCAGTTGCGGAGCGCCAGCTGGTTGGACGCGCCCAGGCCCTGGACTTCTTTATCAAATGCATCTGAGTCAGGCCCTGGGCGAGATTCGCAACATGGACCCAACTCAGGCTGCGGGCAGTTGGGCACTAGTAACCAACACAAGCCCTGGGCTTGTTTCCCTTGGATGGAGGCGCAGCCTCGTCGGGCCTACCGGAAGCTTCTGGGCCAGGGCCCAAGTACCTCACGAGTGCACGCAGCATCAAGCCACTTCAATATAGGGAAGGGCCTGCCTCCGCATTGGACGTTTGGGCACTGGCTGCTTTGTGCGCAAGCGCTGCTGCGCTATCGCCTGCCAGGCTCACGCGCTCAAGGGTGAGCTGGAAGGAGCAGGCAGCCATAGCCGAGCTGCGCTGCTGTATGCTGGATGGGGCGCATGGTGGTCCTTGGGTGCAAGTGGCATCTGTGAGTTGGGGAATGAGGTTGTGAGTGATACGAGAGACATACCTGGCGCTTGAAGTGTGCGGCATTGGCTGAGATCTGCTCGTACTTCGGGGAGCTGTTGACGTCATCAGCGGCCTTGTAGTGCAGGCCAGATAGGATCTGCCATCTGTAGTCTGGGCGCCGAGCGCCAGATAGGATATCAACATTGGTTCTTTGTTGATGATGATGTTGAGACTATTCCAGCATTGTCAATTATGAACTTTTGGTGTGCTCTTATTTGGTGAAACTTGTGATGCAATTCTGTTTTTGGTTCGAGGTCTCGACTATCTGGTCTCATGTGTATGATGCTGTTTGATTGCTGAAGTTCGCTATTGCTCATCTTCCTTGCAATTTGGTATCAGGGTTGTGGTTCGGTGCGCTCATCTGGCGCTTATCTTCTGCCTAATGTGGTACATGCACGCGGTGTGTACGGTGAGCAACCGTGCCGTGGGACGTATGTAGTGAGGAGGGCGAAGATAAGTGGCGACCCAGGAGGTGAGGGGTATCGCCAGGAAGGCTGTGTGTGATTATTGGGTGTTCGCAGTGTGATGAGAACTATCCGGTGTGTGATTGATGCTGAGGTGGAACGGTTGTGCAATGCTGGTTGTGCCGAAGCAGTGATTGGTCATCACAATCAACATTGGATCATCTGGTGAGAATATCTGGTTGGGGGCAGCTATTTTGAGGTACGTTGCACCTAACCTTATCTACCCTCTTCGACACTTCTTACCGTGAGGATGTGTGTTCTGTCTTGAGAGTCCTCTCATGTGAGGAGTCGTATGCGCTCAACCTTGAGAGTCATCAGCCTTCACGTGGAGCATCTGGAAGGAGAGGGCGGAGCTATCTGAAGGGCCCTGGACGAAGCACTGGGTCACGGTCACCATGCCAACCCACCGGGAGTTGAGCACGCATGCTTTGCTGCTTTGTCCTTTGTCTGCTCGCTGCGCTGTAGAGGGGTTTTGAAGGGCAGGCCAGCCCTAGGGGACAGACGAGACCGGGCGTCTATAAATAAGCACCAGCGTGATTCCTCCCATTGGCTGTGATCGTCATCCTGTTTGTGACACTAAAGAATTCCTGAGGACTTCGGGGGCCGTCCATAAAAACCCCTCCTGATCAGCCAATCGGTCAGTGTAAGGCTTACTGCACGTGAGGATAAATACGGTGCAGGGCTGGCCAGCTCAGCAGGACTGGGGGCTTAGGGGTGGGCCGTGTGCACACCTTTAGACACACACGCTATCTGGATTGCTCAGGGACGTTGACGACAAGAGACATTCAAGAAGAATTGAGGGAGGGGTAGATTCCAGGTGATAAGTTTGGGCAAGATTCCATTCTGCAAACAGACCCAACAAACGATACTATTTTTATTTTGATTAGTTAGATGGACAGCCATTAACATTTGACAGACATCATTAGTTAGAACTGTTTTTTGTTCCTTGTGCTTCTGTTTGCGGACTAGTCAAAGTAAAATGTTTTTGTTTGTAGGAATCTGAACTTACCTGTTGGACCCGAATGTATAGTCTCTGACATAGCCGCCGATTATTTATATTAATTATAAATCGGTTTGTACATGTCGCTGCGGTAGGCATCGATCGTGTGTCCCAGTGCAGATGGTGTGCAGTTCTGTAGCATATGAGTGATAGGGATATCACTAGTGAGGACGACCGGATCTTGCGATCGGCTAGACGCCCGATAGCCCACTTGGCCTTAGGACCGGAGGGTGACAAATTTTTGTTCTGCCGACTTAGGGAGAGGCAGCACCAGCAGAGGAGAGCTAGGGCAGCAGAGGCCAGCAGGGCGTTCGTAAGCGAAGCTGCAGCTTCAGCAGCCATGGCAACTGCTGCGCAGCAAAGTTCCGAGGCTAGCAGTTCAGGGACTGTAGGGTCAACGGTCGCGCAGACCCTGAGTCAGTCCACTGGTGTAATGACAAGCCAGCCATTAGTGTTGACTCCCGAGGAGGTTGCCATACAACGAGCTGTTGATCACGAGGCACAACTACAGAAGGATTTAGGAGAGATCAAGGCAGAAAAAGAAAGAATGATTAGAAGAAGAGCCAGGTTGCAGCGGCGACAAGCGGACATTAGTGAGTTAAAGGAGATGGACCCAGCGGAGTTGGATGATGAAGTGAGGACCCTGAGGTCAGTCTTGCTAGGAGTAGTAGAAATGCAAGACCAACAGACAGCGATCTTACAAGACATCCAGCAGAGTCTTGTCGTGTTGGTAGGGCGAGCGCAGGCGGCACCATCACTGTCCGGGCCTGGTGTCTGGCCCGTTGTACATCCTCCTCCTTTTGTCCCACCGGTGACTGGGGTATCCCCATATACCGCTCCAGCATCGGTTCAACCTGTCTCCCTGGGTATGTCTTTAACAGGCGGGTTCACAGCAGGTCCTAGTTTGCAGGTTCCTGTACAGACAGTGTTCTCCCAACCTCCGTCTCAGGTTGCCGTAAGCGGGCAGCCTGATGTCTCGCAGCCTGCACAGCTGCAGGGTTCAAGCCCCAGCAGATAGTGCAGCAACCTGCACCACAAGGTCCAGAGTCCGAAATGGTGCAGGTACAGGGACAAAGTCAGTGGGTACCAAAGACGACCATCGCCGCTCCTAAACCCCTTACAGGGGATAAGAGGGGCGAAAACCTCGACACTTGGTTGAGGGCAGTGTCAGTCCATGTCAAGTGTAAACTTACCTTGCCACACGAGAAAGTGTTTGTGGCTGCCTCCTATCTAGAGAGGAGTGGTGCAGCTACAGGGGTACGGTCATGACTTTCGCGCTTGGGCGGTCACCTAGAAATTGGATGACTTCCTCAAGTCGGTGGAAGACAGGTGGCATGATCCTCAGGAAGCCCCAAAGGCTACTGATGCGATCCTGACACTGCACACGAGGCAGTTTAAGTCAGTAAGGGAGGCCACTGACGTTGTAGAACGTCTGATCTGTGTCCCTGGGGTGCGCTATGACCCCCGGGTCTTACTCACCTCCTACCTGAGATGCTTTCCCATGCCTCTCAGGAATCAGTTGGCAGGTGAGGCCAACATCAATATGCACAACTTTCCCTCGTTTAGCAAGAAGGCCCTAGACCTTGAGGCAAAGATAGGGCATGGGCAGACACCCACTACGGATGGTAGGAGAAAGTCATTGCCTCCCAACTGGAAGGTGAAGGGTCGCATTATGTTTGTCGATAACGATGGTTCAACCATCGAGTTAGATGACAACTTCCAAGAGGGAGTAGGTTCAGAGGCTGGCAGCGTAGAGACTTTAGGGGGTGGAGTAGTCGCTGCTGTAGCTCAAAAAGGAAAGGCAATTGGTAGACGCCGTGGAGGTTCCCGGTCTAGGAGTCAAGTTGACCCCAATGCTCCTCCATGGGAGAAAGCGGGTCTCACTGAGGACGTGTGGAGAGATCGGTACACGCGGCAGGCTTGTATGCGTTGTGGCCAATACGGCCATAACCAGTTCAAGTGCCGAAACAAGAAGGTGACCGAAAAGATCCCGCCAACGATGGGGCAGGCGTTGGGATCCTCCGCTCCCATTGGTAGCAATGTGGCCAGCAGTTCTGGCACTGCTCCGGGAAACACGTCGGGCCAGTAGGAATGGTAGCTGTCCCTGCTAGGGTCGAGGTGGTGGACACACCCTCACCATCTCGAGAGATGGCCCAAGCTACTGACTCCATTGTCGTCCCGCAAACACATGCTGACCCATCGAGCCTCTGTTCAATGAATGTGTTTGAATCCTTAGAGGAGCTAGAGGAGGAGTGGTCTAGATCAGACCCACTAGCTTCTTGGACGACATTGGACGAAGCCCCTGAGGGAGAGATGTTCGTCGGCGAGGTAGTCATCAGCAGCCGCAAGGCCTAAGCCTATTATGACACTTGCTCGACTAGGAACCTCATTCGTCGCGTGTGCGTTGAGAGGCTGCGCTTACAGGGGTGAGTGCAGCGCCTGAGTCGACCTGTGGAATCGACCTGTGCCAACAAACAGTGCATGGTAGTCAACGACTACCTCCAGGATGTTGAGTGTTGTTTCCCGTACGCCGGAAGGGAATTGAGACATCACATCTCGTTCCTAGTGAGCGATGATCTCCCTATGGATATCTTGTTAGGTATGTCCTACCTCTTTGTGGCACAGCCCCAGTTTGATTGGGACCGAAAAGTGGTCAAACACACTTTGCCAGGTGGAGGGACCGCCAAATTACGTAAGTTCAAAGTTAGTAGTCTGATTGAGTCTCACAGATGCATGTGTGCGACCGGCGACCGCGTTCTATAATTATTATAAGCAAAATCTGGAGGAGGGTATGTATCTAGTTTATGTCTCTGCAGCAGGCGAGCCGGTGAAAATGCCGCCGGAGATAGAGGGAGTAGTTGCTAAGTACCCTGATCTATTTGAAGAGCCGACAGGGGTTGTGGAGAGGGAGGCCGTCCACGCGATAGAGATTATCCCAGGGTCTAGCATCCCAAAGGGTAGGATCTATCGAATGTCTCCAGGCGAGCTTGATGAGCTTCGTTGGCAACTCAAGGAACTCGTAGAGAAGGGTTGGATCCGGCCGAGTGTTTCTCCTTATGGATCTCCAATCCTATTCGTACCGAAGAAGGCGGGAACACTGAGGATGTGCATTGACTATAGGGGCCTCAATGCCATCATTGTCAAGAACAGAGAGCCCCTACCGCGCATCGACGAGTTGCTAGATAGAGTGCAAGGGTGTCGGTACTTCAGTAAGATAGATCTGAAGTCCGGGTACCATCAGGATCAACACAAAACCTCTTTTCAGACGAGGTACGGTCTGTACGAGTTTGTGGTGATGCCTTTCGACCTTTGCAATGTTCTTGGCACCTTTCAACATGCTATGAATCGGATATTTCATGACTACTTGGATAAGTTTGTCATCGTGTACCTCGATGACATACTTATTTTTAGTAGGATTGTCGAGGAGTATGTAACTCACTTGGACAAAGTCCTAAGTCTCCTTCGACAACACAAGTTCAAGATCAACGGTGAGAAGTGCGAGTTTGGCTGCACCCGTATCTTGTACTTGGGTCATGAGATTTCCGCGGAGGGATTGAAGCCCGATGACGCGAAGGTGGCCAACATTCGTGACTGGCCGCGTCCTCAGTCTGTGACTGAGATGAGATCTTTCTTAGGGATGACTGGCTACTACCGCAATTTTGTCAAGAACTATAGCATAGTGGCCGCCCCTTTGACTGACCTGACCCGCCTTGACACCCCGTGGGAGTGGACAGACAGGTGCGAGGCTGCTTTCAGACATCTGAAGCATGCGTTGACGCATCATGAAGTCTTAAAACTTCCAGATCCTGACAAGCCGTTCATAGTAACCACGGATGCCATCCAATACGACATTGGCGCCGTGCTAGCGCAGCAGGAGGGGCCAAAGTTAAGGCCAGTCGAGTACATGTCCAAGAAGATGTCGTCTCAGAAGTTGGCTAAGTCCACTTATGAGAAAGAGCTCTACGCGATCTACAAGGCACTGACCCATTGGAGGAATTATCTCCTTGGGAGGTTCTTCATCGTTAGGACTGATCATCAGACCCTGAAGTGGATGAGAACCCAACCAGTGCTCTCCGGTGCACTGAAGCGTTGGATCGAAGTCATTGAGCAGTATGACTTCGAACCGCAATATCTCAAAGGGGAGTACAACAAAGTTGTTGATGCCTTTGTTGCGCAGACCTGACTTCTTGGGTGCGTTGATTACTGAGTTCGAGCTCGCGGACGATGTCACTCGCTCGTTGGTGGAAGCCTATCGCGAGGACCAGTTCATGTCTGAGATCATACGCAGACTCGAGGCGAAGGACAAGGTGACTTCTGCCGAGTTTGAGTTGGTCAACGGACTGTTGTTCCTTGAGAAGGCAAGGAATAAACGTTTGTGTGTGCCAAATAGACAGTCCTTGCGTAGTTTATTTTTAGGAGAGTGTCATGACGCCACCGGCCATTTTGGCTACAAAAAGACAGCAGTTAATTTGCTGGCCACGATGTCAAGCTGTACGTAGACACTTGTCAGGTCTGTCAGAGGGACAAACCCCGTACACAGGCCCCTCTTGGGCTTCTCAAGCCCCTTTCGATTCCGGAAAGGCCTGGTGAGAGTTTGTCTATGGACTTCATGGACACACTGGTCACCAACAAGAGTGGAATGCGACACATCTTTGTCATTGTGGATAGGTTTAGTAAGCATGCTAGGTTAGTTGCAATGCCGGAAACAGCAAAGACTGAGTACGTCATTAAGCTGTTCAAAGAGAACTAGGTCAAAGATTTTGGACTGCCTAAGTCTATCATTAGTGACAGGGATGTGCGATTCACTAGTGAATTGTGGAAAGTTGCAGCTGCAGAATAGGGCACGCAGTTGCCAATGACATCAGGCAATCACCAGAAGCGAATGGGCAGGCAGAGCAGTTGAACCGCGTTGTACAACACCGGCTGAGGCATTACATCAAGCCGAATCAGGTAGACTGGGATGAGAAACTTGCTCTCATCGCCAGCCTGTACAACAACGCTGTGCACAGGGCTACTGGAGTAAGCCTGAACAGCGTGCTACTGACTTTCAAGCCTAGACTGCCTTTGGACTTCCTACCTCCTAAGAATCAGTCATCTGCTGCACCAGGGACCTTAGAGTTTGCTTATCGATATGAGCAACTGATGCAGCAGGCTGTCGAACAGATGCACAAGGCACAGGCGGCGACGATAGAGTCTGAGAACAAACACCGCCGCCCATCTACATTCCAGGTAGGAGAAAGAGTCTGGGTTAAGTCCTCAGAACTGGGACAGGAGTACGGGATCTCCCGTAAACTCATGCAACAGTACTTTGGACCATGGGAGATCCTAGATGTTGTGGGGAATGAACCAGATGGACCATCTTATGTTATTCGCATCCCTGGTCACTTACGCACTTACCCTGTTTTCCACGCCTCAAAGCTTGCACCTTCCAAAGAAACAGATCAGTTTCCCTCTCGTCGCTCAATGCTGCCCCCAACCATGGATGGAGAGGTCGACATCGACGACATTGTTGACCACACGGAGATGCCAGTTCCAAGACCAACAAGCAGAGGACATCCTCCGAAACCGAAGCTGCAGTATCGAGTTCGGTTTAGACATCACACTGATCCAAAGGAGGATAGATGGTTCACAAGAGAGGAACTGATGCAGACCGCTCCACAGGTAGTCGCTCACTATGAGAAGTCTCTGCAGAAGGGAAAGCGCCAGATTATCGAAGACTGAACTTCTCAGAGGACAAGCGAAGTATGGAGGAGGGAATGTGAGGCCCAAGGCCTCGATAACCCCTACTGGGCCCCTATTTGCAACAGCGTCGGCCGCCCTAAGTGAAGGTAGGCTCGACAGACCCCAAGAGGCCTATTTTGGACTACTTCGCAACTGGGGAAAATTCAGGCAGTTGCGCAGCGCCAGTTGGTTGGACGCGCCCAGGCCCTGGWCTTCTTTATCAAATGCATCTGAGTCAGGCCCTGGGCGAGATTCGCAACATGGACCCAACTCAGGCTGCGG